AGACAACCCCGTAACAATATGCGTTTTGTACTGCTGTTACACAGCACAAAACGCATAAAAAACTGGCAATCATGTACCTGCAGGTCCATGCAGCTCTGAAACGCAACACCCTCAATCCAACCGATGCCCCATTCTGCTGCATGCCGGAAGAAACCAAAGCATGGCCGATATGGACCTAAGTGTTTGGCTGCAGCGCAGGGATTTTTCCTGTTATTAGCGACCCGCGAGTTTAGTGCAAAAACGCCTGATCGCACCGGCTAACCTGCTGGGTTCCAGCCTGGATTTCAAATGGTTAATTTACACTAGCATGTGCCTGAGAACCATCAGCTTACTTGTAAGCAAATTCAGGAAGAAATGACTACGGATAGCCTTGCCAGCGGTTGGTTCCTGCTGGCACGTGATAACACATCAAGGGCTAATTTCGGCTGACTTCGCTGTACGAAATACGATAGAGAATTTCATGTTCGGTGTAAAATAAAAGATGAATACTAACAAGTGGTACAGGAAAAGAAATAAAAAAAATGCGTTATTTGAATGAATAGGCGAGACTCGAATTAAAACGCATCATTTTGACTAGTAAAGCGTTAAATTTGAAGTACTGCCTTCTGTTTTGTCGAAAAGCGAGTATCCCTTAATCCGGTGCCAATCATCAAAATAATTGACCAGTTCAAGGGCTGCCCGTGCGAAGATGCGTTTTTTGCATAGTTCCCGCAGTTTTTGTCGCTACCGGCATTGGTTTTTCGGCAAATGCTTCTAGCTAAACAAATTAAGATTGCCCGCCAGGACTGGCAGGAAGCGCCCTCTAAAATTTCAGCTTTCTAGCTTTCCTGGCTCTGAGTTAGCAACATATTGGAAAAAACTTCCACAGGCCCGCACGTGGGTATCACGCACACCCGATGTTTGAGTTTGAGCTCGTTGAGACTTACTTGGACGGGGAACATCTTAAAACTACAGTCTTTCAGCTTTTCAGGTTCTCGAGTTATGAAATTGCCCAAGGAAAATTTTGGTGAACCCGTGTGTAGGTACCACGCATGACCGAGGGCTGGGTTTGAGCTCGTTGAGATTAATGTGGGCGGAACATCCTCTCAATATTACAGATTTCTAGCTTTTCAGGTCCTCGAGTTATCAACTTACCCGAAAAAAATTCTGGCGGGCCCATACGCGGGTACCACGCTTACCCGGGGGCTGGGTTTGAGCTCATTAATACCTACTTGGGCGGTGACATCCCCTTAAGATTTCAGCTTTCTAGCTTCCCAAAACCTCGAGTTAGGGACTTACCCGAAAAAAACTTTGGCGGACTCTTACTTGGGTACCACGCGGGTGGGACTGCCCATTTTGGGGATGGGGACCCGTACGTGCATGTAGATTAAACCCCCAAAGTTTCAGCTCTGTAGCTTTTGTCGGTCTCGAGATGAAAAATCGGTACAGAGGCCCTGCGCACACATAGACACACACACATAAACAACCTCTCGTCAATATGCGTTTTCCGCATTGCATAACTGCAAAAAACGCATAATTAGCATTGCTTCGAAAAGCTGATTTTGCTTTCTTCCATTCAACAAAGTGCATTCGACTCGCTTTGCTACAAGAAATCTCAGAGCATTTACCGGTCTGTTATTGAGCAAATCTTGAGCAAGCGAATCAACACTGGTCGAAGTGTCGCTGATACCCAGTCCAGAATCTGCACCACCCGACCGGCATAATTCTTCGGAAGTAGTACTCCGAGGTCGGCTCTGCCCAACCTTCAGAAGTTTCCAGTTATCTTCGTCTTCATCCCAGTATGCTCTTTCTCGAATTCGATCACGAACATCCTGCGGCACGAAATTTTCCACGACCAGCAACCTGTAAGCCCAAAAAAAGACGAAATAATAAAATTTTTCCTTGTTGGGTAAATAAGCTAAGACTCGTAATGCTCATTAAAAAATATAAAAGAAAATTTTCAACCGTCTCTCAGTTTAAGAAAGCGAAGACGCTACTTACAACATAACCATCAGCTCGCTAGGCTGCCGGTAGCAGCCTCTTTCGAGAATTGCTTAAGGAAGTACCGCCAAAAGCAGCTTCAACCTCTCATATGTTGTTAGGCCAAATGCAATCGACAGATTTTTTCCAA